CACCCGGGGTGCCCCGACTGTGAGTCCCCGGCGCCCGGGGTGCACCAACCCGGGACTCCCTGCCCCGGGGGTGCACCCACCATGAGTCCCCTGCACCCGGGGTGCACTGACTGTGAGTCCCCTGCACCCGGGGTGCACCGACCCGGGACTCCCTGCCCCGAGGGTGCACCGACTGTGAGTCCCCTGCAGCCAGGGTGCACCCACCGTGAGTCCCCTGCAGCCAGAGTGCACTGACCTGGGCCCCCCCACACCGGGGGTGCACTGACCATGAGTTCCCTGCACTGGGGTGCACAGACCCAGGGCCCCCTGCACCAGGGGTGATCCGTCCTGGGCAACAGGAGTGAGAACTCCCCTACCCCGGCTGTGCTCCTTCCCTGGCCCCCCCATACCATGGGTGCCTCGACCCTGGGCCCCCTGTACCGGGACTGCTCTGTGCCAGGCAGGGGGAGTGGGACCCTCACGCTGGGGATGCTCCAGCCTGGGCTGGGGGAGCAGGGCCCCCGCACTGGGGCTGGGGTCCAGCCAGAGCAGGGCTGCCCCGGGTGGGGGGGGTGCGCTGATGAACCCATCGCAGCTCCACGGTGTGAGTGGGAGAAGGGATGTGAGGGGCAAAGGCAGGGCCCAGCCTGGCTTCTGCCTTCGGCCCATGAAATTCCTTCTGAAACTGTTGCTGGTGGTGGGTTTACTCTGTTTTTCTCCTAGCAGAAGCCGGGCTCCAGGGGTAGCTGTGCTGGCTGGAGAGTGCTTTCGGCATTGCCCACGCTGCTTGGGGGGCTGCACCCTGTCAACACCCCTCCTCCCCCCCAGAGTACCCCAAACACCCCAATTGCTGGGCCTGGAGCTGGGGTGCCCATTTCCAGGAGGAAATCCTGTGGTTTGGAAATGGGTCCTCAAAGGGGAGTGAAACACGGGAATTGAGAATGTTCTGTCTAAAAATTAGGAGGAGGGGAGGCAGGTTCCTCTAAATGTTTCAGTTCTGATGGTGTCTTCCTGACAATATGAAATAATTGACACTTCTAAATGAAAATACATTTTGACCTGAAAAATCAAACTTTCCCATCCAGCACTGCTGAAGTAAGAACGTTTCAACCTGGTCACAAGGCTTTGCCCTAATGGAAACATTGCCAGTTTTTCTCAACAACTTTCTATTTTGACATTTTCCAAATTTCCTTTGGGAGATGTCCAAGCAGCCTGCTGCTGTGGGGCTGCCAACGTGCCGCCGTCGCTGGGCTCAGCTCCTGCGGCGCAGCCCTGGCCGTGCGGCTCCCGGCCCACCAGGGTGTTCCCGCGGCCTCGCGTGCGGCTCCGAGGCGTTTTTCCCGGCTGAGGCTGGCCGTGTCACACCTGTGATGGGATACCCCCGCTCCCCAGGGAAATTGTGAAACGCTGATTTGGTGCGAGGGCGGCGAAAGCCAAGGAGGAGCCCCAGGTTTGTGGGGAGTCTCCCAGGGACTGGCGGGACCAGTTGCCTGCATCCTTTCGGGTAGGTGCTGCATAACCTGGGCAAAGTTTTGTGAGTCACATCTGCTTCCGGCACTGAGCTCCCACAGCGCTGCTGGTTTAGAAGCTTATTAAGAGCGTCTCAGTTCTTGTCGCCCTAAATATTGCATACACGGGGCAAATGTCCTTCCCGGAATGAGAGTATTTGTCAGGCTTAGGACATCCTTTGATGGATAAAAGGCTGCTCTCCACCTCTCCAGGGTTAATTAAAAATCCTGGTCCAGATTTCCAAGACTCAAGGCCTGCACGTGGAAGCACAAACGCGCGTGCATGTTTCTGGGCTGAATTTGCCTCCGTTGGTGCTGTAGCTGTGAACAGAGGCAAATAACTGTGTGTCCACCTGGCATAATGTCTTGCTTGTGCGTGTTTGCATGTGTGCTTGTGGTAACTTCTGCTTTCAGTGGGGCCCCAGTGAGCCCTGCAGGAGCCTCCCCTCTCCCTAGCTGCGCGGGCTCCTGGGCTGGGCTGGGCTCGGCTTGCCCTGGTCAGATAACAAAATCTGTTCCTATAAACTACCGACTTTTGTAGAAGAGGCGGCACCAGATGAGGTTACATCCTTCCTTCAGGCTGCAGGTTCATCCGTGGTGCTGCCTGCCAGAGCTGTCAGTCTCTGCTGCCGCAAAGGTTTCTTAATTTAGCTTTATTTTATCAGTTCCTCAATTTCTCAAGTCTTTCCTGCGTGGGCTGCGTAGGATATATCCTCGCTGGAGAGATTTCACCTGTCAGCCCTGCTTCATCCGTTTCTTTCCCCTGCCCCAGTACGTTGATAATTTACTCCCCTTGGAGGGCAGCGGTTCAACCAGCCGGCAGCTTTTGTGCCCAGGTGCTGCAGAGCAAAGCAGCGGCGCTCCACGGGGCGCAGGAAGGGGACGAACGGCCTTGACGGCCCATCCTTGTCCCCCTTGGGAGCAGGGAGCGCTTTCTCACGGGTGGGAAAATGCCGACCCCTTGTTTCCTGCACGTCGTGGCGGTGCTGGTGCTGGGGGGGATGGTGGTGGGAAGCGGGGAAATTGCGACAGCTGTAAAGCCCTGCGGTACCACCATCGCGGGGCCCAGGGCACGCGGGGCCTGGGCTGGTGGCAG